GTCTCACCCTAAAAATTCTTTCGCTGCTTTCCCACTGCATCGCAATCCACAACCACAACAGCAGCAGCAGCAACAACAACAACAGCAGCAGCAGCAGCAGCAGCAACAACAACAACAACAACAGCAGCAGCAACAACAGCAGCAACAGCAACAACAGCAGCAGCAACAACAACAGCAACAGCAACATCAACAGTGGCAGCATCTGGAACAAGCCCGGCAACAGTCCGGCAATTCGATGCGACCACATTCAAATACCCAACAACAATATCACGCTGTACTGCAAGCGTCTCCAACTATACGGCAAGAAGCTTCAAATCTCCACAAATTATCGCCAAATATGCGCCGGCAGTCATATCAGCATATCCAACAACCTCGCCCTCGCCACCTAGATACCCACTACAGAGCAAATAGGGTTATTCGCATGAACTCTTTCGATTGTACGCCCTACTCTCAGTCTTCTCCCGTCAAATCTCCAGCCGAGGGACTGTCAACCCCTGTCGCTTATCCTGCTTCTGCCACTGCATATGCCTGGGGTGGGAATAATCATTGCTTGGTCAATTCTTCGACGACAAACAGTAACACCATTTGTCCTACTGCCAATGCTCATGATCTAAGCAACTGCATGACATCCAGTCAAGTCCAGGAGTTGGACAATGAGACCTCTGATGCCCCCATCCATCGTACACCGATCCAAGCCCATCTATCAACACCCTTGTTCAAAACACCAGCCAATGAAACTTCCCCAGTTTCGCGAGGGACTTCAGCTGGATCAATGACAACTTCGGGCTCCAGCTTGACTGATCCGTCTATCCCTTCACCCGGGGACAATAGAGCGTTCCAGGACCAAACTGCAATCGCTGTGGGTCCAGGTGACCTTGTTTCTGGCTCAACGAACAACAGCGGTGACATGCTCACTGAAGAAATTGGCGGTGGGTCCGAAGCTTCATCCTTCTTTCAAGATGCCTTCTCAGATGTTAATGGACTTGAAATCAACACTGCTGGCTCTCAAGAGTGCTCTGACGAGAACAATTTTCTCAGATATGAGTTCTCTGAGCCTTTTGGTGTTCCAGCATTATAACTTATTGAAAATCCTATCCTTTCATATTGTTACTTTTTTATTACAGTTTAGTTACCTAATCAAACCCCTCTCCTTCTGTTTCTTGTTTAGACCCCTGGGTTCTCTTCACTTACACACACACACACACACACATACACACACACACACACATATACACACACAAACAAAACACAAGAACAGAAATAAACAGAAGCACTTTCTGCATTCATAATTCATTTGCTTTCTTGTATATCTCTTTGTCTTATACATTCTCTACAGTCTGTTTTTACCTTCTTATTTATGTCTTCTGTTCTGAGTTAATAACTCCAATGTTCTCTTTGCTTTCTTGTATTTTCTTTCTTTTATTTCACATTGCCTGGTGCATATGGCCAAGTTCTTGCATATATTTCTTGTCTTCTATTCTCATTGTCTTTCTCAGTTTTCCCTTGACAAAAAAATAAAAAAAAAATAAAAAAAGGCACCAAAATAGAAGAAATGATGTGATATGTGTGATGTGATATGTGTAATATGATCACTATTAGTGTCTAAGAAAATTTTGCTTCACAGTTTCATTTTTCAATTTTCTTGCTCTTTTACAAAGTACATCAAAACATCTCAAGGTACCTCAAGTAAAAGTAAGATATTTTTTTGTGAAAAAGAAATGTGGTTTGTTCATACTTATCTACTTTGATGATGATACTTTTCTATCATCTAATAAGCTATAAAAGGCAAAGAAGAGTAAGTGAGTATTTAAATCTTTTTCTTCAGACTTATAGTCAGATGAGAAATACAATACTGCTTTAATTTTTAATATTCTGGTTTATTTTTTCAACTTATTACTTTTCAAAATACTGATTATTTTCATAGTTATATTATTTTATATATATGTTTTTCTTCATTTTTTATTTTATGATTTACTTTCTTTTGCAATCTCTTATTGTCTGTTAATGTTGCCGTCTCATATACTCAACCCAGTTATCTAAGATGGCAAAAGCATTTTAACATATTGAATGATGAGTATTATACTTCAGCTGCAGCATGTGTACCTTGCAGCTTGTGCATTGAAATTGCCAGTCAAGTTCTCTAACTCTGATTATAGCTTGAAATGTGCTGTGAGAGTGCCACAGAATGAGTGACAGAGAGAAATGAAGAGATACATACAGTGAGATGCAAGTGAATAAATACTACAGATGTCAGAAAGAAGTTTTGAAGAGAAAAAGTTCTGTTTGTAGATAGTGTACTTTTATAACTTCTTTTTCCCCTCTTTTCCTTCTCACTTGAGTTGTTTTTCTCTGAAAAATTACCTAACTATTCAGAGCAAAAAGATGGAGAAAGAGAGAAATGAAGAAAAAAGAGAGAAAAAAAGACCTCTGATGAAAGTTGTTTTATATTGTTTTTTTAGCATAAAGAGAGATTTGTTTAATATGAAACAGTTGATGAGATTATGTATTATTAAATATGCTGTAAATTTTGACCCTGTTACTATTACTCTATACATTGGTTTTCAGTTTTTATATCTTTTCTTATAGTTAAACAGAGACTTCAATGATTATATCTCTTGTGATAGATAGAGAATTGTTCCTCTAACTGCTGGATACGAAGAAGAAAGCATCAAATGGTGGTTGGACATACATCATCACCTACGCAAGTATTCAGGGGGAGGTTCCACAGGCGGAACGGAAGAGATTTCTCTTTTTTTTACCACTTGGAGATTTATTATCAATGAAGTCTCAGAGAATTTCAACGTATGAGGTTACAGCTAATTAACTACATATATAAAGCAGAAAATCTTATTAGTAGTATAAAGAACATCTTCTTCATATGATTTATATCTTAGAGTTTTCCATGATAACTATTTCACTACTCACTAGAGGGAATGGAGGACTCAGAATAAAGTCGGACAGATTAGTGGGGGTTGACTCCCCAGGACCGGGCATGGCTGAGCAGTCA